AGGGACGAGCGTTTGCAGGAAGCTCATCCCTCTGAAGATGTAAGGCAGCAGCACTCCTGAATTCCAATTCTTTTATCTCCTCTCCTTGGCTGAGTCATCCAGGGACCATTCCCCTGACGTATGGCTTCACGTGTGTACAATCACCACTATACAGGGCTGCAGTTTGGAGAAAGTGCCTTTTTCCCAGTGGTGATTAATGATGATAATCTTCCCTCCCCCTGAGCCTCTCAGGTACCTGTTGCAGAGCCGCCGTCCCCAGAGGACGCGCCTGCACTTCATGTGCCACCGTCAGGAAAGCTGCACATCCTTCTGCTGAAAAGACACAGAACAAACCTAAATGGGCTGTAAGTTTTCTTTGTCTTGTTCCCACAACACCCATTTCCATCTGTCCCACACGGGTGAGCAACAGGGAAGCAGCGGTTCTGATGTGCTCTCCCAAGCACATGGGGGATCCCTTGGCTAATCCTGTGGGGCTGCTCATGGGGGGATCCCTTGGCTAATCCCATGGGCTGTGGGGCTGCTTGTGGGGGATCCCTTAGCTGCTCCCCTGGACAAGATGCCGTTAGCAGTGGGGTGGCTATTGCACGAATAATTTGCAATTTTTGCCAGGGCCGCTGGTCCCAGGGAGGCAGCCCTTTGGTAGAGGCAGCCCTTGGCAGAGTCTCTGCCTTGACAAGCTGCAAGCACAGGAGTGAGGGCATTAAAATGCTTGTGTTGATGTGGCAGGGACAGCGCTGGGACAACGAGAGGCAGCGATTTGCTGGGAAAGAGGGAAATGACAATATTCTCCATCAACATTATTATAGGGCTGTGCCTCAGGGTGGACAGCCCAAGAGCTGTGAGAAAGACTTTAATTTGCTTTTTCTCCCCAAGGAGAGCTAATGGCATTTAGTGCAGCTCTGGCCACCAGCTGCCCAGGCACTGAGCCACTGGGGCACCGAGCACCCTGTGTGCCACGCCAAGCACGTGGCAGAGCTGAGGTGATTGTCCCCAGCTGGGGCCGGGGCTGGCGCTGGGTGAGGTGCCCCCCCGCTCCACTCAGCTCTGCAGAGACACAGCACATCTGAATGAGCTTGTCAAATGAAATTTTCTGTCTGGTTAGAAATGGATTTTCGAGCTCCTCGCTCACATGTAAACATTTTTAGTGGTCCCCAGCCAAATCAGAGCCAGTGAGAGCAAACATCAGCCTGAGCAGACCCAGTCCCTGCAGGGAAATCACTGGCCACAGAAGGAAACCAAATGCATGATGGCTTCGAAAGGCATCCATTAAAGTTGTGCTGAAGTGATTCATGGTCCTGGTAGTTAGACTTTAATTAGATCTTAATCATGTAATTTTATCTTTGTTTTAGAGATTAGAGATAAATGAATGGATTGGTCTCATAACAGAGCTGTGACTAAAGGCAGCACTGTCATGTGGCAGCTCTGTGGCAGGCAGGGATGGGGCTGAGAGCATTAGCCACTTTGGGTGTTCTAAATAGAATGAGAGTATTTTAAAGAAAGAAAGAATTTTATTTAAAACACACAAATCCGCCAGGACCTGCCAACACTCAGGGAAGGTGGAGAGGGAAGGAGCAAAGAGGAGGGACCACGGAGCCTGGTGTGAGCCAGGGCGCCGGCTGCCCAGCTGCCACCATTGCCTTGCCAGGGATCCCTGGTGTGTGACAAGGAGAGACGGATTGTTCTGGCTGCCAGTTTGGACCCTGCACAGGATTAGCAGCACAGTAACTCATCTCAGTCCCTCCTGGGCACTGTCCCTCCTGGGTTGCTCCTCTGGGCATGCACAGAGCTGTGGCACAGCTGCTGTGCCCTGCAGTGTACGTGGATGGACATGGGGACGAGCACGCCCTGAGTGGCAATGGCAGTGGGCACATCCCTCTGCTAGCGTGCAGGAACCCTGCACGTGTGTCCCAGGAGGGGTTTTCCTCCCTTGCAGATGTGGGACCTGTCAATATCTGCCCTGCCTTGCATCTTGCTCTTCAGTTACTTTATTTGAGCCATACAGAATGCGTTCAGTTTTGCAGAATTAGTCCCTATGGGTGCAGGACTGGGACAACGCTGCTGAGCCACAGTGCAGCTCTGTGGGGCCCAGAGCCCACCACCAGGGCTGCCCCAGGAGCTGGGATGCACCCACGCCTGGCACAGAGACCATGTCCTGAACACATCCCCAGCACATGCTGGGAATGCAGCAGCTCCATCCAGGTCTCAGCTTTTGCCTCTCTGAGCTCTCTGAGCTCTGCCTGGACCTGAGCTCTGCCCAGGGCTTGCCCCTGGGCTGGCAGGGAGGCGAAGTGGCAGCTCTGTGCCCCATGGCCACGCTGCTACAGTGGCAGCTGCCCACAGCTCCCCGTCCTTGAGCCTGCCCTGCCCTTGCTGCAATGGCAGGCGCCCCCTCCCACCTTCCCTTTCCTGCTTGCTATGCCACAGGAGCCACTTGAACTCATTACTGTGGGAGATTATAGGTCCCCAGGTAATAACGAGTCTTCAGATAATTACAAACAGATTCTCTAATAGGAATGAACTTGGTTGAATCCATTCAGTCGCTGGGTAAATATTTATCCCTAAGCTGTCCTTATCTCCAGCCACTGGAGCGTGCCAGAGAAGTTCGCTGTCCCCGCACCGTGTCACTGCGGGAGCCGGCTGCAGGGAGGGCAGCGGGGGTGGCAGTGATGAGCGCGAGAAGGTCCCCTAAAACCTGAAATCACCTATAAAACACCTATAAAACACCTATAAAACACCTATAAAACACCTATAAAACACCTATTCGCAGCAGGGCAGCTGTGCTGCCCGGCCCCATGTGTGGCTCAGGGCTGGCCGGGACTCAGCATCACCGGGAGCTGGCAGCAGCTGCTGGTGTTCTGGGGGTTTGTTTGGTCTAGAGTAGGTTTGAGCGGGTTTAAAGAAAAGGAAAAGCCACAGTTTAGGGAAACTTTTTGCTTTAGTTAGCTAAAACCAACATGTCATGCTGTCTGTCTGTGTGTAGACAGCACAGTTAGTAGCAGGAATGTGGTGGAGTGAGTGCAGTTTTTGAAAACAAAGTGCCAGTCCCCATGGGCAGTGACAAGTGCCAGCCCCTCATCGGCCCTGCCGGCAGTGCCAGTCCCCTGCCGCCTGCAGCCGCAGCCCCGGCTGTACAGGAGTCACTAATTGGACCGGCCGGCTAATTAGCTGCCAGGTAATTAATTATGCAGGATACCTCGATTTCAGCGCCACCAGGTCCTCTCGCGGCAGCTGCTCGCGGAACCCTGGGCAGGGCTCGGAGCGGAACATGGAAAACTTTCAAATCAGATAAAATGCGTCGATCACTGGGACAGGGCTGGGAGTCCCCCACAGCCACTCCCAGGACTTTGCCCACCGCCAGTAAACATGGAGCCAGCAGTGAAATTGAATCATATTAGCTTAATAAGAAGTTAATCAAATGTTCTCGGTGCTCACAGTGCTGTGGTCCTGCCGTGGTCAGAGTGATAAGAATGCTCCTGTGCACCTGGAAATCCCAGGACTGGATGTAAAGAGCTGGCCCAGCGGCCATGGGGAGACGCTGGAGTTGGGGTGCCCCCAGGCAGCTCTCCCTGGCTCAGGGTGTCCTCATCAGGAGACAGGCAGGGTGAGGAACATGGGGACACTATGTGAAAGAGAAGATCCTCGGCTGCGAGGTGCTGGGACGGTCCCAGAGGGGAGAGGACCATTTTGGGAGGACAGGCTGCTTCCAGGCAGGAGCAGTGCTGCGACTCCGTGGATGTGCCTGAGGTTCTGCTCCTCTGGGCAGGGCACTCGCCAGTGAAGGATCCCCTTGGCCCAGCTGGTCTCAAGAGCTTTTCAGCACGAGGAAGATCAGGGACCACTTAAATCACATTCATTATGTTTAACTATTTATGAGCTGATTAATATTAAACAGCTGCTCTCGGGGGTTCAGGCCTGAATGAACCCATCAAAACACGGCGCACACGGCGGGGTGGCTGCTGTGGGGACAGCCAGGGATGGCTGCAAACAGTGACAGCCCTGAGAGAGAGCCCCTGTCCCCTGTGCCCTGGCTGGGGAGCACCCAGGCTGGGCGAGCAGGGGTGTCCCTCTGGCAGCCCCTCTACTGGGCACAACGTCACCCACCCAGCACCACTCCGTGTCCTCACCAACCCCTTCCATCCTCACCAAACCCTGCCCTGCCTCCTCGGCATGCATATTGCCTGCTTGGTGCTTTTAAAGCCAGTTTTAAGAGCTCCTAATGTGCTCTGCGTTTTCAGGGCAGCCCTGCCTGTGCCCTCATTTGCTCACCCTTTGGAAAGCTAATACTTGATTTAAGCACATTTCTGCTCCCTCCATTTGTAAGGACAAATGTAAAGTAATTGTTTGATATCGCAGCAGTTTCCTCAGGCTCCAGCTCTAATTTCCCACTAATACAGTATTGTTAGAAGGATCAATCTAACCTGGCACCTTCTGCCTCCTTGGAGTGGATTGGAAATGGCTTTTCTACTGCGAGGCTGGGATTTGTGAGTCTCGCTGTGAATGTTTTTCTCCTTTAAAGGAAAAATCATACAAGCAAATATCCCATTTTCCTGTCAATGGCCATTAATTCCCATCTCTCCCTCCACCTGCCCATAACTGCTTCTGGGTACCCTCACTGCTGTGCCTTCCCCTGCATTTGGCATTGGCAGAGATGCAGATGGGGCTCTCTTAGGTGTCCACTAATTAACTCCAGTTGTTTCCTGTTAGAGCTCAGTGGTTACTAATCACTGTCAGCAAGGCCTTGCAGACTGGTCCATGGTGTGTTGCATCCCCGCATGGCCACGATGCATCATTCTGAGACATCCCCAGCCCCGTGCCAGGGTGAGCCTGGCAGCCCCAGGCAGGGATGTGCCACAGGTGGCCTCGCTGCTGCCGGGCTGAGCCCTGTCCTACCTGAGCCTCTGCCTGCTCCCTCGCCTGTCTGAGGGTGTGGGGGCTCCCCGTGGCCCCCCAGCTCGCCCGGGGGCTGCCCAGCCCTGTCCTAAGAACAGCCCATGCATACGGACTGGTGGAAGCCACTTTATTTACACAAAGGGATCACAAGCTGAACAAGGAAACTAGTGCCACTAAAGTACCCGTAACAGCAGGATTCTGTGCTTTATTCACAGGACAAAATATCAGTACAACATTTTCCATAGACTTCTTTGTCAAGCAGATACATCTCACTGTCCTCAGGGGTACACGTGGCGCGCAAGTGACAAAGTGCAGCTCTGCCTGCCCAGGAGGGGCTTGGCAGGGACAGTCCCACTGCCACTGTCCAGAGCTCCCATCTGCTTTGGGACACAGAGGGATGTGCTTTGGAGCGGCCTGAACAGGCTGCAGGATGGGGCCCTGGGGACCCTGTGGTGCTAAGGGCAAACAGGAGCTCGCTGCTGACCGCTGGGACAGGCAGTGCTGCTGGGCACTCATCCCTTGGCTTGGATGCAGGACTCTGAGTCCGCCTTCTCTTGGTTCTCCGGAGCATTGCCTCCTAAGGGACAGGGAGCCCCTTGCCTGCCTCTGCTCGCAATTCTGGGCAGGCTGGGCTGAGGGGTCCTGGCTCCAGCCCCTCGGGCCCTCTCAGAGAGCACTGCAGCTTCGTGTCACTGCAGCTCTGCTCCTGGACACTTACTCCCACCTGAAGTCCTGCCCGACCGTTTCATAGAATTTGATGTTGTAAGGTCTGTAAAAGTCCCGAAGCTGCTCGATCACCTCGGGGTCTATCTGCACGTGAGTCCTGCCCTTGGACTTGCCAAGGCAGCGCGGCAAGCTGCTGCTCTCCGACTTCTTCAGGCACGGAAAGCCTTTCGTCTTGTTGAAGTAGAAGTGCTTGTCTGTGATAACCCGTTTGATGCCCAGGAAATCCTGGACTTTGCCCATCTCCCCGGCTGGGTCCGTGATCAGCTTCTCGCCGCTGACGAAGTGAATCTGCGAGAGGGGGAAGTACTGGAGCCAGCTCTGCAGGTGCACGGCGTACATGCCGATGCGGATGGCGTTCCAGGACGTGTCCACCAGCCCCAGGCTGCGGTTGCGGAAGGTCAGCCCCTCGAAGGTGGGGATGTCTGGCTTCTTGGAGAGCGTCTGCGTGTAGTCCGAGATGGCGCGCGTGACCGGGTTCCGCACCACCACGATCAGCTTGGTGTCCCGGGACATGTTGAAGATCCGCCGTGGCGCCTCTTTGGTGACAAAGTAGCTGGGGGTCTTCTCCACCGTGATCTGGCTGTCAAGTGTTCGTGGCATCAGGCTCCTGCAAGCGAAGCAGAAGGTGAGGGGAAGGAAGGAGCCGGGACAGGCACCAGGAGGTGGTGACTGCGTCGTGGGGCTGGTGACACGTTCCCTCCCAGGGGGACAGAGCAGGCACAGATCCCTCCAGCAGCACTGTGGAGGACCTTGGCCATGGATGGCTTCCAGGTCCATCCCAGCCCCAGGGGACAGCCTGGGCAGAGGACGGGGGCACGGGCAGCCCCACACACACGGTAGCAAGTGTGTGAACAGTGCCAGGATGCAGGATGCTGTGCCACACCACCACCACGAGCAGCCCTGGGGAGCAAAGGACAGGCCCCGGGGGGCTGTGCCGCTCTGCTGGCGGGAGCTGGGACAAGGGGCTGCCCAGGGATGTGGGGCTTGTGCCCACCAGGGTATCACCCACCCCACCAGGGCCTGAGCAGGCCCAAGAGCTCCGAAGGGGCTCCTGGGTACACCCATCTGTTTCTGGCACTGGGAGCTGGACTGCAGGCCAGGCAAGGAGTACCAGCCTGGGGGAAATGCAGCATCCCTGCAGCCCAGCTTAGCACTAATTAAATCATTTGCTTTGACATCTGAACATCCAAATCAAATAAAAACTAATGGGATGGAAAGATTTATAAATTGGTCTCGTATTACTAGAGTAAACTATCAAATCCACCGTACTGGAGGTCCCCTGGCTGGAGCAGGCAGGGAATGCCTGGCGGGAGTGGCCAGGGACCGTGGCAGCCAGGATGGGGCCAGCACCCTTGTGCTGCATCCCCAGCCCAGCAGCGCCCTGAGGCAGCAGCAGCTGCAGTGCTGCGAGCAGGCACAGCCCTGGTTCGGCCTGTGGGCTCCCTGTGCCCCACAAGGCAGAGCCCCGGCACCGTGTGCCCGCCTGCCCTGCACGGGGCCCTGGCGTCACTGCACCCGCCTGGAGCCCTGGGTGCCCCGAGACTCTGGGCCAGCAGCAGCCGGGGGAAGCAAAGACTCCGTCCCTCTCTGCATCCCTGTCTGCAGCCGTCCCTCCGCAGAGCCCGAGGCACCGGGTCCTCCGTGCCACACACCCGACAGCTGCAGGACCACGAGGGCGTCCCCGGCCGGGTCGGTGCAGGGACCAGGACCTGGCTCCTCCAGCACCCCTAAACCACGGCCCGTGGCCAGCGGCTCTGGAACCATGGCAGACCTCACCGCCAGGAGATCCGGCAGCAGCCCACAGCACCCGTGACCAGAGGACAGGGATGGAAGAGCCAGGGCACGGCAGGGAGCGGTGGCACTGCCGACGGCACCATCCCACCCACCCTCATGGGCTCTTGACCAGAGATTGGAGAGAAAACAAACTAATTAGTCAGCACAAATTAGCAGGGCTGGTGCACTGAGGTACCTGGGCATGGATGGAGCTTAATTGGCCGTCCCACTGCTCTGCTCCAAACCCATAAATCCAGATTACAATTCCCATTGGTTAATGACTGTCAGGGAGAGCAGGCACATGGTTCTATCTCCACATCACAAACAAGTTTCACCATAAATCAGCACAGGACAGCTCTGTAAGTGATTCACTATTACAATATATTGTGGAGGATCATAAAACTGCTGTTTCATTAATGGCTCATCCTCAAGCCTGTTAGACTTTCATTACGTGAGTTATTAGGTCCATGCATTCCAAATACAAAATTACAGGTTCTAATCCATTATGAAAAACACAAAACCTCTGCATAGTAAATTACTGAAATGAGACAAGAGTTGTTTTTTTTAAATGGACTCCCAGTGTTTGCTGCTCCTGAGCAAACAGAGACTGCTGAGACAACAAAACACAGCACGGGCAGATAAATAAATCACCAGTGAAGCCATGCAAGGGGGAGAGATGTCATCCAGGCATTCATTTTCCCGCTAACGGCAGGATCCCCAGGGCTGCAGGAGCAGGGAAATGCATGGCAAACTTAATTACACCAGACTTTAAAATAATATTTTTGGACTTCTGCATTCACAGGGTTATTTACATACAAATAGCATGTCACAGAGCTTCAAGGCCCAAGCTGGCATGTGTAGGTGTGAAGGTTCTTGGTGCTGGCCCGCCGTGGCACAGCTGCGTGGCCGGGGCTCAGCCAGGAGCTGCTCCTGCTGCTCCTGGGCATGTCCTGTGGCTCCGCTGATGTCCCCAGCCGGCCTTGGCACTGGCTGCTGGCATGTGCTGAGCCAGCTGCTGCCAGCCTGGGGACAGTGATGTACGAGTGACACTGCCAGGGGGAGGACGGCTGGGGCACTCGCTCAGCACATCGCTCTGGCTGCAGGGACAGCATTAATTACTCCTGAGTTAGAGATTGCTTTCACTAGACTTGCCCAGTTCTTAAAGCCCTTTACTGCCACTTCATATGGGCACCAACACTCCTCCAGCCCAGATGCAGAGGTTGTGTGTGCCCATGTTAGTGACACGGGGACATGTGTGGGTACAGCAAGGGAGCTGCTGCGGCCCAGCTGTGCCCAGCTGTGGCCCAGCTGTGGCCTGCGGTGCCTGAAGCCAGCCCAGCCCCACCAGCCCACCACCCCAGAGGTGCTGGGCAGCAGCAAGGCAGAGCCTGACCCGGCTGTGGCAGCGTGGAGGCAGCGACTCGCCCTGAAGGGGTTAACTCCTCACCAGCACCTTCCCGAGCCTGAATTATTAATTTTGTTATAATCTGCCTTTGGGCACCCCGCGGCCCCTACAACACTCCCACATTAAAGAAACATGCGCTCCCTCGCTGGCTGTGCCGCTTTGATGTCGAACGTGCGTGAAACCCTCTCCCAGGGAGGAATTTGTACAAAATCTCATCAAACAATGGAGATATTGCAGATAAGAGAGGGGAGGGCAGTGCCCGCTGCTAATCCCGTCCCAGCCCGGCCCCGGAGTGGCTCTGGGTCAGCCCTGCTGTGTGCAGGGGTTGGCGTGTGCGATCTGAGCTCCATCTGCTCGGCGGCACAGAACAAACCGCTTCATGTGGCAAAACCCCGGTGCCAGCTCCCGAGTGAGGGCTCTGCGCTGCCCGTCCCAGCCGCTGGCACCGGCAGCGAGGGCCGGGCTGCGAGCAGCCTGCAGCTGCAGCCTGCTGCGCTGGGAGGTGGGCACGGGAGCACGGGAGCTGGCACTGCTCCCGGCAGGACCGTGCCGTGCTGTGCCGTGCCGTGCCATCCGTGCCACCCGTGCCACCTGTGCCATGCCGTGCCACACAGCTGACAGCACCCTCGGCTCTTGCCTGGCACCTCTGCTCAGCAGGACAGCGGGTAGCAGGGTGGATGAAAGCTCCAGCAAAGTGACTTCTGGTAGCTTCAGGAAGTTTAACCTGGTTAAACAAGAGAGAACCCGAGGTGTGATGAAAATAAAAAGCTCTGGCTGAGAGATACCACAGGGGGCATGGAGGACACGGCAATGCCCCGGCAGAGGGCTGCACCACCCTGCCAAGGCTGCGAGGGGCTGAGGGGAGAGAGGGGATGCCCAGCAGCTCCAGAGCAGAGCTCTC